GCTTGGCCGGCAGCGTCTGGTAAATCGTCTTCTGCTTCCCGTCCAGCGTGGGGCTGCTGGGGCCGCTCTGCACCACCTTGGAGCACTCCATCTGCTCGTCCCACGAGCCGGACAGCACGTAGTGGGCCTTGCCCTGGCTGTCACTCACCACTCCTGTCACCTGGGCACATGGCAGGACCAGCACTGGCACCCGCAACCACCCTGGGTGCCCAGGCTCCGAGGCGGCGGCAGGCCCCGCTTACCTTCCGGGCTGCCTCCTTGGAGAAGTAGCTATAGGGCAGGAACTTCAGCTGGCACCGGTCCCTGGTCTTATGGTTCACAATCTCAATGTCTCCCGTCTGCGGAGAGAGGTGGCGGTCGGTGGCCGGTTGGTGGCCGCCCCCACCGGCCCACTCCCAGCGGGGCCCTGACCTGGTCGATCCAGAGCTTGCCCACGATGATGTTGTGCACGGTCGAGGTGCTCTTCCTCCACACGTAGTGGTTCCCGCTGGCCTGGAATTCCAGGTGGATGGCACCTGGCGGAGGTGGGAAGTCAGGCCACGGCCCAGGGTCCTGGAGTGGCGTGCTGGACAGTCTGCCCTGTCTTCATAGGGACTGGGGTGGGGGGCCCTGGGGAACATCACAGGGGTGCTGGAGGCCCCCCGCTGGCTCCTGGGTCGGGGCAGTCTCCCCTTCTCAGGATGTCCGTCGGGAGCGCCTCAGTCTGCTCACCTAAGGGCATGATGGAGAGGTACTTCCCTCGGAACTTGCTGGCGATGGTGATTTCCTGCCAGAGGCTCCAGCCGTGCTTGGAGGAGACGTGGTGCGCCGCCGACGGTGGGTGGTGGCTCACCTAGGTCAGACCCAGGAACCTCGTGAGCGTCGGCAGTACCAGGTACCTGGCCTGGGCCAGGTGAGACGGCCTGCCCAGTACCTTCTCCCTGCTCAGCTCTCAGGCCTAGAAGCCCCCAGGGGCCATGGTCCACCCGCATCCACAAGCCCAGCCGGCATGGGCCCTACAGCCCAGCTGGCTGTCCTGACCTGCCTGGCTGCTGTGGGACAACGACCCTGTTTGCCTGAAAAAATAATTTTTGCTCCCAAAGATGCGCTAGGTCTTATTTTCAGGGGATGTCTTATTTTTCCATGAAGAATACGATACACATTTATTATTATTTTATTAAAAAAGACCGCGCACTTCCTGTCTGCTCCGCCTGCAATGTGGCCAACAGTGAGCTGCGCGGTGGCGCCTGCCACTACGGTCGAGTCCAGAGTTACGGTAGCTTCAGGGGGCCTTATTTTGGGGGGTGTCTTATTTTCAGGGGGATGCCTTATATTTCAGCGAGAGGCAAAACTGTAAGTAGGTCTTATTTTCAGGGGATGTCTTACTTTCGGGGAAACAGGGTAGGTCTGATGTGTTTGACCTCCTGGCTCTGGGCTGTGCAGTGGGGTGATGGGAGGGCCTGGTCCCTCAGGCCGCCCGTGATGGAAGAATGCTTTCACTGCAGTGATCCTTTTCCTGTGTAATCTTCACAGCCGGCAGAGGGAGACATCTCTAACCATGGGCTACCGAGACCTGGATGAGCCCTGCTCGGGGTAACGCCTCCAGCGAGTCCAGCCGGGCTCCAGAGTGGCTGACTGTGTGCCCTGCCTCGGGCCGAGGGGGGCCTTATCTGGCCACCACACAGGGCCCACCACAGCGAGGCCCCCACAGACACCACTGCCCACCTAGGTCCCATTCCCTGCATTCAGCATCACTGCATGTGTTTCGTGAGTCTGAAGAGGACTTTATAGATTGGTATCGGACACATGGGCTAATAGTGGACTTAGGGCTTGGACTGGGCTGGGTTGGGAAGCTTTCTTAATGTACAGTTACCCTTTATATAAAACTCTCCCTTATACACATATGTGTGCTCATGAATTTGTTTCTTTAGTCTACCCGGACTAACACAGTGGGTCAGGCTAGGAACGTCTCCCCCGTCACCCCACATCCACATCCACAGCATCAGCACCCCTTCCCTCCCTCCCTCCCTCCCTCCCTCCGAGTCCCAGATCTGCACTCACTGATCCAGCCAAATCCTCTGGATCCACACTTGCCTGCTTCAGCGGACTCCCAGCAGCCCTTGCAAACGCCTGCCTCCTCTGCTCCTCCACACGCCCTCCCTGTCCCTGCCCTAGCTGGCCCGGCCACTGGAGCAGACAGACTCCCTGTCGATCCCTTGAGCAAGGGCAGAGGCCACAACCTGTTGACCTCACTCTGTCCCTGGTGCCTGGGGGACGGCTTGGCGGCAGCCCTGGCCCCAGAGCACACCTGCTCGCAGAGGGAGCGCAGACCCATGTCATCCAGGCGGTCCAGCTCGAAGGTCTCGCCCAGCATGGGGTTGAAGGGCTTGGCGATGCGGTGCACGGTGGTGGAGTAGGAGGACACGGAGAAGGCGGCCACCAGGCACATCTGCTCCACGGAGCTGGTGCAGCTGACCGCCTTGTCCAGCAGGTGGTGGTATTCCAGGTCCTCCGTCAGCCGCTGGAGCATGGACAGGGGCTCATTAAAGTTCACCTGCGGGGGAGCGGGGCGGGGCGATTAGGCGGTGGTGCCTGGGCAGCCACGGAGGAGGCCCATAAGACACTGTCCAGCATGGGCCCTGGGGTCAGTCCAGCAGCAATGCTTCTCCCATGGGTTGAAGGACATCCTGCCCAGATGACACCCTGGAGATCCTAAAACTGCAGCCCACCCCCACCCCCAAACCTCACCTCCCTGCTACTGTTGGTGGCACAGC